AGTACAACCATAGATTTGCTGCACTGTCAGATGATGTCCTGTGGAAACCTGTTTGTGCGTGGTAGTCACCAACCCAATCGATATCCAGGCTCAACCCTCCTTAACCTTGGACATATGTACGGGATGGGATTATTTGGTCATTGGCTTTGGTTGATAATGATAATAAATGATAATGCCTTGGGGAAATCATTGGGCGGCTGAATGGGATGTGAACCATGGCGCCCAGAGGTAAAGGGTCCAGTGGTGAGCACACCAACTACTTGACCAAACAGCTTGTCACGCCGCTCGAATAGTGGAACTGGCGGATCGTAAATCGGAGAGAGTTGCGAATTCATATCCTGGTCGGGGCTTGACTCAAGCCCATCATTCCTCCACGGTCCAAAAATATATAAAAGTACTACTTTTTGGTGGACGTTAACAGTAATTGTCTTATGGATTAACTCACCGCCCACCATAGCAAGGTGGAATTTCCATCACTGGCTCCAGACTATAAACAGGAAATGCGCACCGGCCTCAATGCTCATTTGAATAAGAAATAACTCTGACCTTGATGCCCTCAATGAACTTGATATACTCACGAGTCGTTCATAAAGTCGTGGCTATGATTGTAACAAGAGGTCGGAGCGACTTTTAAAAATAACTCCATCACCAGATGCGCCCCGGGGTTCCGCGTTATGATCCGACATCTCGGCACGCAACCGGCTTGCTTATGGGCAGCTCTGTGTAGTAAACATGCCTGCAGCTCGCTCACTCACTGCACTAGCCACTGTTACCGTATTCGCCAGATTAGGAGATGCCCCGGAAAATAAGACACTGAAAAACGTGTGCCCCACCACCCCCGCTGCCAAAAAACTTACCCAAATCTGGTCACATTCACAAACGCCTACTGGATTATAAGACGCACACCCCAATTTTTTTTTTCAAATACAGCGGCTACATCTTATACTCCAGAGATTACTAAAGATGAATAATATTCTAACATGTACTGAACTGCCGGATGACTGCCTACACCGTGTGGGTCAAGGGTGTTACTTGACTCAAGTGTATATGTCACGACACTGGTCAGTGTAGGGTTAGTGAAGGTAGGGAACATAGACAATTGATTTTGCTGCCCTGTGAGATGTTAACTACCTCGCCTGTTATACAGGTCATGAGTTCCATCCCGACCCTGACGATTGTATATTTGGAAACCTGTATTATGGATAATATTGGTCGCGAAAGCCTACGTGTTAAACTGTATATTTGGAGTTTGCGTGTCTCTTTCCCGATAGTTGGATGGATGTTCCACCAGGTCCTGTGGCTTTTCCCTCAATATTTATAATCAACGTGCGTTTTGCGTGTGTGGCTGCGAGAAATTTCCACGTGATAAGCCACTTCGTGGAGCTATCATTTGTGACCAGGTCGCTTCTGAAAAAAAAGCTCTATAGCTCATGGTGCCTGACATGGTAAAATAAAATATAGTTTGGAGTTTAAATAGGTGAGTTTAGACAAGTCAAGTTAAGTTTTGTTTCTTACACATATGGTGCATTTTTGGTACAAAATCTGCCACTCAAATCGCCATCACATTCATACTCAAAGATAAAAATAGAAAATTCAATACAATGTATACTATAACACCTATTCGACGTATCATGGGGGTGGTCTATCCAAGCACCATATAGGGAAAACTCTGCTAAGCTCCTGAGATCTGACCAGATTGGTGCTTAATTCCAGGCGGTTTGCTCATAGGTTATTTAAACACAAACTTTATTTTTAGACTGTTTATTAAAATGAAGCGTGATTATTTCACAAGCCTCGTCTCGGCTTTATTTTGTTAGCAGAATCCCTTTTGAACGCAATTGTGTGCTCATCTGCGCCATTGGCATGAGATGCAGCAGCGGCAGGACACACGTGATCATCTCTCGCAGAGAGCGGCCTGCGGAAGTTGACATTACAGAGCTGCCTGGGAGATCCAAAACCAAGTTACTCTGTCCATCACACAGTCGAGGGGCTGCACAGCACTTTCACACTCGCTTTGTCACGCTCCTCGCACCACGGTTCAAACATATATTTTAATCGTCAGAGCTGGAATGTAAGCAAAGTATTTGGTGCATGACCAAGTGTAACGTAACGGGATTTTTTTGTGCATGCAGTCGTTGGTGAATGGTTCGAGACCATACGTTCCTGCACCTTTCGACGAGCACGGTTGGCTACGTACGGTGCGAAAGAAGTGCAACGTACGTACAACTCCCTAGATTTGACGATCCGGTTTCATCACAGGCTGAATTCGAACCAAGGTCCTCACAGCGCTCTGGGCTCCGAGTATAGCTGGACACCATCACACATCACTCCCCTCATCACACATCACCCCCCGCATCACACATCTCCCCCCCCCGTCACACATCACCCCCCCCATCACACATCACCCCCCCCCCCATCACACATCACCCCCCCATCACACATCACCCCCCCCCCATCACCCATCACCCCCCCCCATCACACATCACCCCCCCCCATCACACATCACCCCCCCCATCACACATCACCCCCCCCCCATCACACATCACCCCCTCCCCATCACACATCACCCCCCCATCACACATCACCCCCCCATCACACATCACCCCCCCATCACACATCACCCCCCCATCACACATCACCACCCCCCCATCACACATCACCCCCCCCCCCATCACACATCACCCCCCCCCCATCACACATCACCCCCCCATCACACATCACCCCCCCATCACACATCACCCCCCCCCATCACACATCACCCCCCCATCACACATCACCCCATCACACGTCACCCCCCCATCACACATCACCCCATCACACATCACCCCCCCCATCACACATCACCCCCCCCCCATCACACATCACCCCCCATCACACATCACCCCCCCCCATCACACATCACCCCCCCCCATCACACATCACCACCCCCCATCACACATCACCCCCCCCATCACACATCACCCCCCCCCCCATCACACATCACCCCCCCCATCACACATCACCCCCCCCATCACACATCACCCCCCCCCCCATCACACATCACCCCCCCCCCCCATCACACATCACCCCCCCCCCCCCATCACACATCACCCCCCCATCACACATCACCACCCCCCATCACACATCACCCCCCCATCACACATCACCCCCCCCCCATCACACATCACCCCCCCATCACACATCACCCCCCCCATCACACATCACCCCCCCATCACACATCACTCCCCCCCCATCACACATCACCCCCCATCACACATCACCCCCCCCATCACACATCACCCCCCCCCCCATCACACATCACCCCCCCATCACACATCACTCCCCCCCCATCACACATCACCCCCCCATCACACATCACCTCCCCATCACACATCACCCCCCCCATCACACATCACCCCCCCTCATCACACATCACCCCCCCCCCTCATCACACATCACCCCCCCCCCCATCACACATCACTCCCCCATCACACATCACCCCCCCCCCCCATCACACATCACCCCCCCCCCCATCACACATCACCCCCCCCCCATCACACATCACCCCCCCATCACACATCACCTCCCCATCACACATCACCCCCCCCCATCACACATCACCCCCCCCCATCACACATCACCCCCCCCCCCCATCACACATCACCCCCCCATCACACATCACTCCCCCCCCATCACACATCACCCCCCCATCACACATCACCCCCCCCCATCACACATCACTCCCCCATCACACATCACCCCCCCCCCCCCATCACACATCACCCCCCCCATCACACATCACCCCCCCCATCACACATCACCTCCCCATCACATATCACCCCCCCCCATCACACATCCCCCCCCCCATCACACATCACCCCCCCCCTCACACATCACCCCCCATCACACATCACCCCCCCCATCACACATCACCCCCCCCCATCACACATCACCCCCCCCCATCACACATCACCCCCCCATCACACATCACCACCCCCCATCACACATCACCCCCATCACACATCACCCCCCCATCACACATCACCCCCCCCCCATCACACATCACCCCCCCCCCATCACACATCACCCCCCCATCACACCCCCCATCACACATCACCCCCCCCCCCCCCATCACACATCACCCCCCCATCACACATCACCCCCCCCATCACACATCACCCCCCCCATCACACATCACCCCCCCCATCACACATCACCCCCCCATCACACATCACTCCCCATCACACATCACCACCCCCCCATCACACATCACCACCCCCCCATCACACATCACAACCATCACACATCACCCCCCCATCACACATCACCCCCCCCCATCACACATCACCCCCCCCCATCACACACCCCCCCCCATCACACATCACCCCCCCCATCACACATCACCCTCCCCCATCATACACCCCCCCCCCATCACACACCCCCCCCCCCATCACACATCACCCCCCCCCATCACACATCACCCCTCCCATCACACACCCTCCCCCATCACACATCACCCCCCCCATCACACATCACCCCCCCCCCATCACACATCACCCCCCCCATCACACATCACCCCCCCCATCACACATCACCCCCCCCATCACACATCACCCCCCCCCCCCATCACACATCACCCCCCCCCCATCACACATCACCCCCCCCATCACACATCACCCCCCCCATCACACATCACCCCCCCCCCATAACACATCACCCCCCCCCCATCACACATCACCCCCCCCCATCACACATCACCCCCCACCCATCACCCCCCACCATCACACATCCCCAACACCCCCTCCCCCCCGCATCACACATCACCGCACCACTCCCATCACAAATCACCCTCCCCATCACTTCAAATTCACCCATCACCCCCTCACAACATTGCCCACACCAACAACCAACACCCGCGTCCCCGACATTCACCCCTAACTGACGGAGCCATCGCCACCCTGTGCCAGGCTAGGTCCACTTACAAAGCGCATCCCACCCCCCTCCACCACCACCCCCCTCACCGCCTGCAAAGCCGCGTCCGCCTCTGCCCCCGTCATGAGGCCTCGCCTCGCCGTCTCCACCGTGCCGGCCCCCAGCGCCCCCAGGGCCCACAGGGCCGCTCGGCCTGGCGCCCGCAGCCGCGGCAGGGGAGGCCGCGGCGCCGCGGAGAAGCCCGCGGGAGGCGGCAGCCTGCCCCGGGCACCCGCCAGCAGCCCCAGCGCGCGTCTCCACCACACGCCCGCCATGGTTCCACCTCGGGGTTGGTCGACTCTTCCGTCTTCTCGCGGATGAACACGGAAAACAATCTTCCGTTTTGGGCAGAGATCTTCCTGTTGGGGCGGTGGCGGGGGGTCGTTTCGGTTAGGCCACGGTCTGCTTCCGTATATAGAAGAGGTCTTCCGTATATGGAAGAGGTCTTCCGTATATGGAAGAGGTCTTCCGTATATGGAAGAGGTCTTCCGTATCCGGAAGGAATCTTCCGTATATAGAAGATATCTTCCGTATATAGAATAGGTCTTCCGTATATGGAAGAGGTCTTCCGTATATAGAAGAGATCTTCCGTATATAGAAGAGATCTTCCGTATATAGAAGCGATCTTCCGTATATAGAAGAGGTCTTCCGTATATAGAAGACGTCTTCCGTATATAGAAGAGTTCTTCCGTATATAGAAGAGAGCTTCCGTATATAGAAGAGATCTTCCATATTCGGAAGATATCTTCCGGAAGACCGGCGAGTTAAGTCACTGTGGGAAAAACGTTATACTGGTCGGAACCCACTGGTTCCACCAGCCCACAGGGGATTATTGTGTCCGTCCGTCGTGCAGGGAGGGGCTGGGTGGGGAGGGGCTGGGTGGGGGTGGGGCTGGGTGGGGAGGGGCTGGTCACCCCGTGGTGCCCTTATAAAACTAAACGTTTAACCTACTCACGCCGGCTTGTGCCCGCCCTCACAGTCGGGCATATTTGCGGAATACACCACGCCGCCGTTGACCCTGCAGGCCATTGACCGAGCAACCCAACGCTCCTACCAGCTCCCTCCGCAGGAATGTGTTTTAGAGCTTTCGTGCCTGCAGAAATTACTCCCCTGTGTGCCTATGTGTGCGTCTCTCTCTCTGTGTCTCTGTGTTATCTCTCTCTGCTTGTGTGTCTATGTGTCTCCGTGTCTGTGTTTTGTCTCTCTCTCAAATTTAGCAATCTTTGGAAGAACGTAATTAACCAGGTGGGGTGTTGACTATTATATTAGCCGACTCTCTGTGTTGTATTACATTATATTTCTAAGTTTACTAGGTTTTATGTTCTATTTCATTTGTACCTGATGATGATTGCTTGTGTTGCAATCGAAACGTCGTATGCGATTTTTTTTCTCTTTCACTGTGGGAGGTTGTTTCTGTTTGCGTGTGCGCGCGTGTGGCTTTTCCCAGCCAGCAACAACGGAGGGCAGAGCAGCGAACGCTCACAACAACGGGCGGATAAAACGCAGCAAATTGGCCACAGTCGGGAGGGGGGTACAGCTAGTGGTGTGCATCTAGCGGTCACCCACCAGTCGGTGACTCATGCAGCCAGCTATGGCTGCAGGGTTTGGTGGTACATGTTGTTGATGTCGTTTATTGTGAAATTTCGGTCACAGCTACTATGATCACTGTTACATTGCTTATGGATTTATTTTGGTGATTCCGAAACGTTTTTTGGTTTGGCCATGTTTGTTTGTTGTAGTATGGAGTTAGAATGATGGCTTTAATCTAAGTTGTCTTGTGGTTGTTGTTTGACTTTCATCCCACTGAGATTTGTGTACAGCGTTGGTGTACGGTGCCTTGTTTCCGGAAGGCTTTGAAGTTTTTTCCTGGATTTTTCTGTTTGCGCGTAGTCACTTTAAGATGTTTTCTTGTTCATGTTTTTTGTTTGTTGCGGTTGCACCCGATTCAGGAGCCGAATGGCTCACAGGGCTATACCTAATAAATGAAATTGAAAAACTGAAAACTGAAACTCGAAACGGCACCTGCTTGCCGAGTCTGGCCCGAGACCCTCCTCTGTCGGCAGCCTCGAAGTGCACCCCGGCCTGGCAACGGGCGCCGTGTGGGGGCAATCGCGAACGGCTGGTTGTATTGGTTGATATTGGTCTTACAAGGTAGCGAGACTTTATAAAGCGTAAAAGAGTTGGGGTGCGGCCTTTCGGTAGATTTCTTCAGCTTCTGGAAGATAGGGGGGGGGGTGGAACCTGATCAGTATTCAGAAATTAGAATATTTTATTTATACTGCAAGGAGGAATCCGATGAGCTATGAAGCTCCCAGTAGGGGCGAGTAAGAACATTACAACAACAAACAAATAAAAAACATGATAGTAATGCAAAGTGCAAGAAAGGTAAACAAAATCGCCCAAACGCAAACAAATACAACTAAACCATCCCCATCCTACCAGGCAAAAGTCCACCGATGTATTAACTTTTTATCTTTCAGAAGCGACCTCGCCACAAATGATAGCTCGACAAAGTGGCCCATTATCTGGACATTTATAGCCACCAAAGTAATATAAATAATCTCAAAGCATTCGTCATAAGCGCCCTGGCATTAAAATTGAATATACCCTTCTGCATAACATATAGGGGACTCAAGAGATGGACTGAATAATAGTTGGAGACTGAACCCTGCATTACACACACCATGCACCAAATGTGTGTTTTTTGTATGAATGTAACCCAGTAAACATGGAACGTCGGGCGAACATTGGTCCCAACAGTTCCAATAACATGCCGACGTTGGCCCAACGTATGTTTTCGACCAAAAGTATGGACCAAAAAACTGACAAGTGCGCAAAGGAGCGCGGCAGAGAGACGCATGCTCGGAATGACATTGAGAGACAGAACGTAAGAACCATTTGGATTCAAGAGCATGGCAGTAAGGTGGCTTGGGACACGTCATGGTAAAAGGGACGTGATGGCCGACGGTCAGGAATAATCACGGAGGGGGCAGCCAAGGAGTGAAAGCGTCCGAGAAAACATACAACGGAGGAGACGGAGCGATGGAATCAGTGTGCAGGCGCTAGGTAGATTATTAAATTTCAGGATCGTGAGAAGTGGTGGGGGCTTGGGGAGGCCTTCATCCAGCAGCTGATTGACCATGGTTGATCAGAGTCAGACTCTTTACTTCGACTGGAGGAATCCGATGAGCTATGAAGCTCTTTTTTTGTCCAGTATGGGCGGGTCAGCAAGTCCATGATGAGGTGCAGGCACTGGACATTCATAATTATTAGCCGCGTCTCTTATGCTCGCGATGCATGCATCGACTCGTACGTGCGGTAACAATTGTTTACGATTGATGTTCATCATCATCCGCTCGCTCTCCCAAGCCATCGGTCGCGTGATGTACCAATCCATCTAGCTCCTGCATACGAGCTGATTTCATCGCTTCATCTCCACGGTGGACGACTTTCGGTCGTGTTCTCTCCTCCGACTGCCACTCCGATTAAGCACGGTTGGCTACGTACGGTGCGAATCTATTAAGTTAACCGTTTGGTAATTTTTTTATAATAATGCTCGTAATACGTCAGGAGAAATAATATTCATCCCACGTGCAAATACCGAGCAATGAGCTAAAGAGACAAACGTGTCAGTGCAGGGCCCTCCTTAAAAAACATTGAGGCTCAGTTACAATTTCAAGAACATATCTGGGATTTATTTTCATCCTCTGCATAATAATCAGTTCCATTACTTCACCTCGATGTGAATTTGTTTTAAAATCACCAATTTAATCTACGTCAATTGCGCTATTAGAGGATTCGTGTCGCCAGATTGGGGATATGTTTCACGAACTCTCTTAGCAGATCATCTTCACGTCAAGTCGGCAAAGCGGTGCTGGAAGATGACAAAATTAAACAAGCGTGCAATGCGCCTCCATCCAACATTTTATCTCTCCGAATAAAAACGAAATGAAAGGCAGTTTTGTTTGCACATCTCATCGGGCCGCATGAAGCTTCCGGAATTGTTTAAATACAAAGAACAATGCAGACCGGGTTCGGCATTCAGCGTCTCATCAGGAGAGTCAGGCTTGCTTGAATACCAATGCTGGTGAACTGCCCCTTTGTTTTAAAAATGCACCCCTGTTCGATGCAAAACTATTCCAGAAATATGCATGAATCATTCATCATCATGGTGGGTATTTGGGCAGACTTAAGCGCCGCTGTGATCAGAGGATGAATTATTGCAGACTTCCCCACGAAGTGATGACAAACTGAATCTACCCCTGACCTGCAGGGAGCTGTACTCGCAGCCTCCGGATTGTGGAGACTGTAACAAATAAACTGATTGTGGGGTAATGTAAGGAACAACATGAATAACTAAAATAAGAACATCAGATGTCTCGGCTTGCTTCAATATAGGTCTCTCTCACACCCCACACTCTTCGCTGCCCATGTTTGCCCTGTGAAGAGTGGTACACATACACACGTCAGTTATCTGGTAATCTGGTATATTGACAGATACCAACCCTCAGGTTGAGATAGACAATATTATCTGAAAACAGCATATGATGGGGGTTTTTTGTAGGGTCATTGGTGATAGCACAGCAGAGTCACCCGGGGAGGGGGGAGGGTAAAAGAGGCGATTTTCCCCGGGTCTCACACAAAAGAGGGCACCACAACGGACCTGTGGACAAACGTAGAGATCTGACACTGGGCCTCTATCCCTGAGCCTCCAGGAACCTCTGTGGTGGTGATTGCAGGCATTGTTATGACTGGGTCTCCGTTATAGTTTATTTGGATTAGATCGCGTAAATATAAATGTGTCGTTAAACCCGCCACCAACCGACACAGCTAATTAGTAAGGTTGTTCACGTAATTACGGGCGAAACGTCGTACTCGAATTGTTAACGTGGGTTTACTCTCCAACACACCGGTGTGCTGAACTAGTAACAAATTGGCACGTTTTTTTTTTCGTGACAAACCTTACTAATTGGCTGTATCAGGTGATGGCATGTTGAACTATATTTGTATTCATGTGATCTAACCCAAAATACTCTTATGGTTTATTATTGTTAAAGTGACAAGGCCTATCAACTCGCTACGCACTGCCATCACCAATTTTATCCCGATTGTGCGATCGACGTCACGTCGGGAGACGAATCACTCCATCCGCATCTTCGTGTTAGAGAACGGCCCACGGAACTGGATATCACAGAGCCACTTCGAGATCCACTCCTTCAAGTGCACTCTGGACCACGCACAGTAGAGGGCAGCACTAGCCGCTCGCTCTGCGTGTGAGGTTCGTCGTGTGGCAATAAACTCGATATTTTAATTCTCAGAGATGAAATTTCGCCAATTTAAGTGCAGAACCCACGTATAATAAATAAATAAATATGTGTGTGGAGTTATTGGTGACCGGAATGGGATGAGACAATCAT